ATGCTTATTAAGAATTTTGAAACCTGCCATATTTACGAAACACATGTTTGGGAAGTAATGCATAGTTAGATTGGAGAAAAAAGAATCAAAAGGCATCACTAACAGTGTTTTTAAATATAACTATGAACCAAGAAATAACCATTTCATGAAAAACGAATATACAATACCTAGGTGGTGTAGAAGTCTCTATAATTTGGTTATGTTGTGGGAAAAGTCTTGTCAGATTCTTCGCAAGATTTGGAAGTCCTAAAAATTTTCGAGGTCTGCCACGAAGTGGTTTGCAAATTGTTGGAAACCTATAACATAAAAAAGATTTCATTAGATATGATATGCAAGGACAACTGTAGCTACCGGTAACTCGGCGAATCGCAAAAAGGTATGAATAAGTTTGTAATAGTTTAGAATTCTTTTATACATGGTAGTAAGAAACATAAACGTTACCTAGGCTGGTTTTTCATGTGTTCTGTCATGGAAATAGTAGAATTATCCCTTAAACCATTTATGTTTGATGGGGAAATGGATGGTAAATTCATGTTAAAATTTGGAACGATGACGGTTTTTCGAGGCCTTCCCCGAGTAGGTTTTACACTGGCTCCAACCCTGTCATAACAGTTTTGTGTAGGTTAAGCATGAGTCTAAAGAAAGCATCACCAATAGGAATAATTTGTACATAGAAAGCAAACCAACATTTGGTTACTCGAGTTACACTCTTTCTGTGTATTTTGTGAAGAACCAACATTCTGGTCTTGGCTTTTGGAAGGCATAGAAGAGGTGGGTTTGTACCATTTTATAAGTCTGAATGGAAAAATCAGAGAACAAAGTATGTAGCTTTATAAATTGTACAAAAAGAAATTTAACAATTTTAAAGAACACTGTCACAAACCATGAATACCAATGCACTAAATATTTCAAAAAAAAAACAAAGTAGGTATGATAAGAAACTTACACTCGTTTAAGAGAAGAACTTGCTTCATGTTGTACAGGTTTGTGTTGTTGCGGTAAAATGTGTGTTAGTGATTCTGTTGTAGCAGATTATGTATTTTCATCTGGTTCAAGGTTAATTGTGTCAAAAAACTTAGAAAATATATTTTTCCCCAAGCTATGAATGTTGTTGTAGACATGGCTTGCTGTTCTAAATCCATGCCTGGTTTGGCTGGGTTCTGAACATTGAAATCGGGCACTAAGTAACATTCCTTCTTTAACAATTTGTTCAAACATTTTTTGGTTTTGATGTGACGGGGTTAGCTCGGACAATGGATTTCTTGTCATCATATTATTTGGTGTAGGATGTTTGGTATTGAGTGTAAAGTGTTGTAGAGTACTGTTTCTTTGGCGTTTTGAACATGATTGTTTTATAATCATAGATCTACGGGATCTTGCTTTTTTGGCTGAAACAGAATTGTTCGTGTTGTCCATACTTGAAATCACAGTGTATTTGAAGAGTGTTATAACCTGTAAATATAAAATTCAATAATTAAGTAACTTAAAATATCACAGACAACATCAATGTATTAAACTTGTAAGGATGTATAGTAGACAAATGAAGTAACACATGACAAAGGTAGGTGACAACTTGAACAATTTGTATGGAACAAAATAATGTTATGCATCATTATGCAATCTGGCTAGATTATTCAGAATGGCTTATAATGCTACATACTTGCAGAATGGCTAGATTATGCATAATGGCTAGATTAGAGCATGACAGTGTCAGCTGCATTAATGACAAACCAACATCAATGACACCACCAATACACTTAAATAAACCTCAGCATATTCAAATTTATTGTTGAAAGTAGGTAATGTACATTAATAAACCTTACAATGAAGTAGGGTGCTATAAATATAAGGTACTTATGTGTATGAAAACTACTTTAAGGCATCAGCCACTACATACTCATTAACAGATCCTTGTGATACCTAGCTGGAATGAAGTTGTTAAAGTTGAGTATCATGAACAACAGGTAAATTATCCTACTTCATATATGAACAACTATGCTATATAAAACACAGTTGGATGGTATGAATCTTATCCATGTCATAAATCACAGCCTAGTTTAGTTTTTGTTTGACTGCTGAGTGTATGGCCAGCTGAAGTTTTGGTTCTGTCAAGCTTTATAGAAACCATACCTGTTCTGGTTTTTTAATCTTTTTGCCTTTAAAGGAGAATGTGCACAAAAAGGAGAATGTCCATCACTACTGGACTTGCGTGTCCAGAAAATAAGTGAGGTATTGTTTAATGATAAGTTTTCATTGTCCAACCAGACTCTATATTTTGGTCTAAGTCACACTGCAATCTTTATTCGACACAGGATTTGGATAGACATAACACATTTTCTATGATGCCATGTGATATAAGTCAGCAAATTTTAAATAATCTGGTCTACTCTCAGCGTCTTACTGGTGGTTCTGTTCAAGCTTTTAGAGATTGTGCTCTCCAGGTATATCATATTAGATCAATTATGAACTTGGCTCATCATGTCTCCTTGATCTAAGTGGTTAGCTTTATCTCTTAATTACCACTGCCAGGATATATACTTGGGAGAATATGATGGTGTTGATGATTCTTGGATGGATGTCATCTCATCTCAGGGTTCATCTTTACTCTCGGTAGATCTTTCTGGATCTAATATCACTGATTTTGGATTGACTTACCTAAAAGATTGTCAAAGTCTCATTTCCTTAAATCTAAATTATTGTGACCAAATTTCAGATCATGGATTGGATTATATCAGTGGTATTCTTTCTTTTCCTGTATTCTTTCTTATATTTGCACTTGGGTGTTGGTCCCTTGGCATCTTTGCTTTGTCTTTTATTCATCTAAAAATAGAAAAATAAACATTTCTTATCAGAGTTCCTTGGCTAAACCATACAGCCGTATTTCAGAAGACTTATTTATTAGTGACACACCTATTTCTAATATATTTTTCAGTTATATTGAAAATAGGCATATGAACATCTTATGTGGATAATCTTCATGAAATACGGCCTTTAAATTTTTTCTAATTTGACTATAATTTCTCATTTTTAATATATCATGTTCAAAGAATGAAATTCTGCATTGGTGAAGCTGACCTGGGAAAGATATTTTCAGTATACCTACCTATTTATTAATCCAATTGAACATAATGAAATCTGTCGAGGATGTCGAAAATGTGTTTGTGCATTCAATGATTAATATGTCATTAGTTTCATTGACCTCTCTGCCAAGCCTTTTTTATTGCATAATTGTTTTTTCAAAAAAAAATTCATCTGGCTCGTGTGATATTACTTATGTCTAAAAGCATTGTCCATAGTTTGCTTTTACTTATGGTTTACAACATCTGTAATGGCATATTCCAGGTCTGTCGAACTTGACATGTTTGAGTTTTAGAAGAAATGATTCAATATCTTCTAAAAGAATGAGTTCCTTCTCTGGTCTCTGTTCTGGTTTTTTTTAACCTTTTTGCTATCAAGCTTTATGCATTTATAGCATAAACACTTATCATATAAGTACTTACTATAAACTATTCTGAAGAGCTTATGAAAACAACTTGTTGAAATGTCATAAGTTGTTCTTGTTTCTATAAGCTCTTTCAAACTCTAGGACTAATGCTTAAGCGAGTAGATATAAGCCTAAATAAATCAATTCAATATGTGCTAAACCTTAAACTTATGTGTGGTATTGTTGTGATTTTTTTGCAGGTGCTGTAACTGCGCTGCTGCGATGGCCTACAGCTCCACCCAAGTGAGGCTCCATCTTCATCCTTTTTTATGGATAATTTATTGTTCTGAATCTGATGGTCTCATAGTTGCAAATATCTTCAGATTGGAAATGCCGGCGGTGGAAGTGGGGAAACACGGAGTGTGGCTTTTAGCTAAGACGGTAAGCGATAGACCACTCCGATGGCTATTATTGTTAATTGATAATATTCATACATAGGCTAATGAACACTTCATCTTATGTTTATTATGACCATGTAATGAGATTGAAGGATATTACGTGTCTTTGGCAGCGAATACAGTGGCTAAAGCCTATTTTGCGATGTTTGCAGGTTATGTGGTGTCCATTGGCTAGCTTGAATATCTAATTCAATGTGTAGTGAATTTGTGATAGAGAAAGGGAATAAATTTGTGGCATTTGTTATTTACTATGATGTCCTTTTTGTAGTGAGAATTTTTTTATTAGAAAGGGTATTTAAGGCAAAGTCTTCAATTGATTAATATTAGATAGATAGTAGACACCAAAACTAAATACATAATAACCTCATGGAAATCTTTATAACAAAAATGTTTTGGAAAGCGGTTCAATCTGTGCGCGGATTTTCAACCAGCAATCCAAATTTGTTTTTACTACTTCCAAGTTTGAGGACATGAGTTTTGAAGAAAATGGAAAGACAAGAATGTTCATTTGTTCTAACTAATTTAAAATACAAAAGTATGGTTGAGATTTCCTCCTAATTTATATGATGTTATGTTGAGTTGGTGTATAAATTATCTTGCTACACCAACACATAATAAAAAACTGTTCTCTATTGTGTTTATGCAAGGGTTTTTCTGTGAGCAAAATATGAGGCGTTGTCTTATGTTAAAATTGTGGTAGTTAGTTGATATTTTGGAATGGTACAATTCGAATTATTGAGTCAAACCAAAGTAATAGTATTTGATTGGTATTTTGAGATTTTCCTAAGCCTGTATAGTGTAGTGTGTCACTAGTATTGATCAGATTAAACAAAGAAGCAGAAGTACAGGATGCATGCAACATAAAAAACAATTAATAAAAGACCAATTTACTCAGGCTGCATAAGTGAGAAAGAATATAGCATTATTTCCCTTCTCAACCTAATTCACTAAATTGAGTAAAACTCATGTGATACAACAAGCAACAACATATTTCCAGAATTATAATCATTCAAAATCCAAGCTAGAAAATCAAGCTAAGCTTTTGTTTCTTACAAAAATGATAATCGAATTCTTATCACCGGGGTCCTTTTACAAACTTTTATCCCATCCAAAATAACTTAGTCAACATCCATAGCTTGTTCACTAGCAGTGCCGCTGGACCACAGCTTTATGGTGCGATCATGGGAGACAGTAACTATATACCCACCATCTGTATAAAATAACAAGACATGCCAAAATCAGAACAATACAAGCAATAATAATATTGACACAAACCAACCATGCTAATTGCTAAGTAATGGACAATTTACATGATTATTGTATGAAGCTTTTGTTCTGTGTAACTCTAACAAGAAACTTGTTGCTTGATATAAAAGGCTCAAGATATCATTCTCCAGAAGAAAATGAAGACCTTCAAAGCACACAAGTTTGGCCATAAGAAAAAAAACAGGCCCCGAGCCAAACAGCCGATGACACAGTACATATGTTCCTAATCTTGGCACATCTGCTGGTTTAATTTCTTCCTTTTGTAATGATAATGTTTCTAAAATACTATCAAGGTTTGCACGTCCGTACAAAACTTCAGGTTCAAGCTTATATGCCACATATGGGAAGGTTGTCTAAAATGAAAATAAAATCATGGAACTTTCAGCATTTGATGAGACATGAAAAGTAAAGGAAATGAAAACCACCACGCTAAATTTCCATTCAATTTGGCAAGGTTGCATTTAGGTCCAAAGCAAGAAGGAAACTAGGTTTGCATTTGAGTTTCAAACAGTTTAATATGGAAACTCTTTTCAGCACATCATTTGCATTGTCAATTATTCATAACAAACTATTATGACATATTCATTAACATTTCAAACATCTAGACAACTTTTAATTGATCATTTACGATGGAGGACAGAGCATAGGTGCTGTCAAACAGACACATCAACCACAAAGTGAAGCAGCAACACAAATAAGCAAAATGGCATTTCAATTAGAGCGGCGGATATATAATCCCTTCATAAGATAAAAAAAACTCTACCTCCAAGGACATCCAGAGAAGTAACTTTTGCTTCATGCCCTGATAGTGTCTTCACAGGCTTAAAGTCCCGGCCCGACCATACCTGGAGTCAACACATAAAGTTAACTATTCTGAAATGAAAATAAAATGCTAAATAATCTTAAAATTTATTAACAAGAATACATTGTTATTTAAGGTAGAAATAAATAGGAGGTAAACCTTAGCTGTCATGTCATATGATGCAGTTACCAAGAAGTAACCCTCTTGTGGCTCAAACTTTACTTGCGATATCAAATTAGAGTGAGCAGGAATGGTGTACAAGGATTTCTTCTTCCTCAAGTCCCAAATGCGACAAGTGTTATCTTCACCACCAGTGGCTAAATGATATCCATTAGGAGAAAAACTGATGCCAAGAACCTTAAAATGAAGTTCAATAATGGTCAACCTGACAAAATTTGCATACTAAAAACAGATAGAAAGATAGATAAAAGAGAAGGGGATCTTTGATATCTTACCGGTTTGACATGACCTTCTAGTGCAAGAACACTTCTCCCAGTTCGAAGGTCCCATACACGAGCCAGAGCATCCAGTCCACAAGACGCAGCTAACGATCCGTCATGATGAAAAGCTAAACCATATACACTTCTACTATGGCCTTCTTGAAGAAGCAGCTCCTCTCCTGTTTCAACGTCCCATAATCTCCATGTCTTGTCAAAGCTAGCAGTGCCCAAGTACTTCCCTGATGGATGGAAGGCAATGCGTGCAAGACGATCAAGATGACCCTCAAATGTTCTCAAAAGAGATCCTTGATCATTCCAATACTTTGCTGTCCGATCGGCAGAGGCAGTAGCTAAATGATTGTGCACAGGGGAATAAGCAACATCAGTAGCACGTTCAGTGTGCCCCTTGAAGGTAGAAACTTTTTTTACATTAGGCATGCTCCACAACTTGGAAGCTCCGGTTAGAGAACTAGAAAAAGAAAAATGACATTAGAAGATTAGACTATAGTGGTTTCACACTGTAAATAAGATGGAGAATTAAACCTTAAGCTGCCCAATTTGCAAAAAGGACATACCAAGTAGCAAGCCCTTTTCCATCCCGGGAGAACGAGCAACCAGTAAGTGGTCGATCATCTCCGATTTCACTGAATTCAAGATTTAAATTTGCAGCCTGCTTCACTGTCCAATCCATCTCCGCGTCCACATCTTCATCCGGATCATCTCTTCTTCTCTGAGCACGTTGAATACGCAATGCAGCCCTTACTAAAGAATATTTAGCAATATCAATCCTTGCATCGAGGAGAGACTTTGACCCTTCAGTGTAAAAAGGATACTGCAGATCATCCTCAGCCTCATCTTTTGGAGCAGAAGTTGCGGCCTCTTCATCCTCAAGAGCTTTCGTTAGCTTTTCCAGCTGACCATCGGCATCCAGCTTTGCCATAATCATCCGCAACCTGTCCCGCCTCTCCATCTCCCTCTCACCAAAGAGGGTAATCGGCTCACCAAGATGACGAAGACGGGCCCTCACTGCCATGTCATTCGTGGGAACAGCAAGAGCAGCAGCACGTCTTCTCATCATGAGGTCTTGCATCGCTTTCTCCTGTCGCTCCCTCACCAGTCTACTCTCTTCTGATATCTCATACTCGCCAGTACCCTTATTTATTCTGGTGTCTCCATCATCACCATCTGACTCAGAATCACTAGACCCAACATCGCCATTTTGTGGCACTGGTGGCTTAATAACCGGTGGCCGAACTGGGAGTGGTGCCAGTGGCCGGACAAGAGAGGAAGGAACCACGGGAATTGGAGCCAGAGGAGGCACGACAGGAGTAATAACTGGTGGAATAACAGGTTGAGTTGGCTGGGGCAATGTTGGTTGAACAGAAGATACAGGGTTTTGTTCTTGAACATCAGAGCCAGGTATAGATGATTCACCAGTCACACTCAATGTTGAATTTTCCATCTCCACTTCGATGATTCCTAGCCAATAAAAATACAAGAAATTAAAGAAAAGTTGAAAATTTTATAAAATCAAACTGTTGTATTTTCAATTAATCAACATTAAAATCCAACTCCAGTCATGCATATGCACATAAAACACTAACAATAAGCTATAGTGCACTAATTAAAAACAAAAAATTTACAAGTAATTGTTAATTTGCAATATGTTGAAACAACCACGGTATAAAACTCTCATTCTCTGCACAAATCATAAAAATTTGAATAGCACGCATATTCTTTTCCGGACTCTTTTCACCGGTTCTATTACATTACCCATGCCAAATTCATACACTGCTCCTACGTCACTTTTGACCAGATCCATACTGAGAGTTGTGTTTGAAAAGTTATACAATTATTGATAAGTATATGAACATGTATTAATCACACAAGCATGCATATTGATTGTTTGTACACAGGAAAAGACAATGCATGAAAATAACTTGAGTACTTGTGAATTTCAAGCTAGTATGCACCTGTAACACCATTGGGAGAGACATATTACATGTTATTTCAGAAATTTTGAAACAAGCAAGTAACTCACATTATCTTTAGATTTAGGAGCAAACAAACCTGAAGAACATTTATCAAACAGTTTAAGGGTAATACATAAAAGCAAAAAAAATGAAAAAGCCCACCTCAAACTAACTCTAACTAGATTCTTGTTTGTTGTTACTCCCTTACTCAATCAATCATTCAAATGATCAACCTTGAAAATCATTTGGTTATCTTCTCGCTAAATCTTCTGTATGGGCGCTCATGAGCCTCAATACATTAGGGAATTTCTTCTCTATTATTTTCTTTACTTCTTACCAATGTATTAAAAGTGTCCAATGAAACAAACTTGGTTACCGTTCATTCAGTTAAACAAGAAAAACTGAATTTATATCTAAAGTTGGTTCATCATACAACATTATTATGGGGACATTATATTCACACAGTAAAATTACATATTAAATAACTTCAGACAATAGCCACTTTGAATAGCTATTATAATGTACCCAGAGAATTAAATTATAGATTAAAAAGTAACAGAGCATGTGGGTAAGTTATAAAAGAGGAATTTTAGTGGTAAAATTAGTAACTAAATGCTCTATGCTTAACAGGATAGAAGACTTCCACCACGAACAGCAGCTTTACTAAAATTAGAAGGTAAGACACCAACCATAATAATTGCTTTTAAACTAAAAAAAATTTCTGACTCTAAACTGAAGTTACAGCAAGTATGATTACATATGTGTTGGTCAAGTTGCTGTCCTCCAATCAATACCATTAAGTTCACAAAATGTATGGAAAGAAGGAAAGTATCTACACAATCCAAATCTAGAATGTTTTACAATGGTTTAAAGGTGTTAAAACAATGAAATTTGTATAATGTTTTGTAATGAAATGATTCATCTAATTCCATGCACAGCATTTGTGTTTAAACTCCAACAAAACATACGGTAATATTCAGTCAAATGTTATTACAGACTCCTACAAATAAAATTAAACCATATTGAAAGTGCTAAATTGCACTCATCCTCTAAGTCTTTCTACACAGAACTTGCCAACATTTAGTGGGAATTAACCAACTACATTCATAAAACTCTATTCATAATTCTCTAGATCCTCATATTGTACACTAGAATCATCAAACTCAACATCATGATTTCACTAAAAGCCAAGCACTTGAACTACTTAAGATGGAACAACTACAACTACTAAAAAGTAGTCGCAAGCAGTTCAAAAACAGCAGCATGTCAATCTGGTTGCAGAATATGGGACAAACTATAGAATAATATTAGTAACATATTGATGAATTAATATGGTAGCATATATAGATCAGTACCTCCAAACTCAAACAGCAATGTGGTTAACAACACTCTTAATCAAACACAATAACAGTTATGAACCTCATTGAGGCATTTTCACAAACAGCTTGTGAGTGCATATATTAAACATTTCTATTTTTTTCATATAACATGAATATTTATAACATAAGAATTCAAATAAGATGAAGAATGAAGGTTGGTTTTGGAAAAATTAGAGATTAAAGAGAGATTGAGAGAGAAGAGTAACTCTGTTGAAGAAAAATATAACTGTAAAGGACATTACACGATGTAGGCGGAATGGGGTTGACGGCGGTGAAATGGGTTGACGGCTAGTTGTTGTTGCTTAACGTAAAGAGAGTTTGCTGAATGAGAAAGAGTACAGTAGCTGAATTTTTTGGAACAAAACGAGTCCCTCAACAGTAAAAAATTAGGGAATAATTGTTTTTCTAACCTTGATATTACTGAGCTCCTTTCTCTCTTTCAATCACTTCCTCTGGGTTGTGAATTTGTGTTGGGTTAAGAACAAATATTTTTCTCTCTCTAGTTAAATGAGTCTAGTCTCTATGTCGTGAAGATGGAAAAGAGAACGATACTTGTTTCTCTATTTTCTTTTTAGGATTCTACCGGCCACCCAAAATAAAACCTGGCACCGCCAATATTTTTTTAATGTCAAAATTGCTCTAGAGAGAAAAACACATCAAATTTCTATTAATTTTTTTTTATAGTTATAACAAAATTTTTGAAATAGTTTGAAATTTTAATAGTTCATTTGAAATTTTTGATGAAGTATAAATTGTTTAGAAAATATGAAATTTTCGTGTTTATATTGGAAATTTCATTTAAGGTGAAATTTTCGTATTTACACTTACACCAAAAATTTCACTTAAGGTGAAGTTTACAGTAGTTTTATTTTTAGGGTCTTTTGGATGGTTATGATTTTGCCGACAGTATTGTGCGACTGTGATTGCACCGACAGTTTGTGTGATCTATAATTGATTCACAGTTGTATAAATTGGGGTCCCTCTTATTGATAAACACATCTTAAAAAAATGCATCTTCCTCAATTTATGATTAAGGTAGAAGTTTACTTCAACAAAACTTCTCCTCTGGTAGAGTTCAAGCTTCCCGATGACACCACCTCTTTTGTCGGCCTGACGTCGAAGTTGAATGAATTGTTGCCTGTTGGCGACAATAGAAAGGTGAGAAACATCGAGTTTCGTGAAGATTTGATCGATACAAACGGGAGGGTGAAATACAACCATATTGAGTTGAAGACCGACGAAGATGTGAAGGAAATATGGAGATCATTTCGCCGTAGGATAACAAAGGGTTCGATCGAGTTAGATGCGAAACTGTCAAAATATGTTGACGACATAATGGAGATGTTAAAACATCCTGAAGCGTCTAATAATGCTTATGTTTTTATTATTTATTAATCATATTGTAATGTTAAGTGTTTTATGTTTAAGTTATGAAAGCCATTGTCAGAAGTAAGTTAACCTTCACACTGCAATTTAAGGAAGATCACTAATATTAATTAATAAAATATTCTGAGAAAGATGTATGAATAATATACATATAATACAACATATAATACAAATAATACAATATATATATATATATATATATATATATATATATATATATATATATATATATATATATATATATATATATATATATATATATATATATATATATATATATATATATATATATATATATATATATATATATATATATATATATATATATATATATATATATATATATATATATATATATATATATATATATATATATATATATGCCTCTCACGAGTTATGTGTGTAATTCGAGCTAATATAGAATAAACGTCACCATCTGGGTTTACCAAATCCATGAGCTCATCTGTAATCACTGCAATCATCTAGAAGCGTTGTTGGTCATCGGCGTGATCTACTGGATGGGTCCTTCTGGGAATCCTCCATCATTGTGCACAGAGAGCTCAGTTGACGAAATTGTAACCTTTGTCTCAACAGTAATTGATGGGTCCGACTCACCAACAACAACATCTGGTTGTACCTCCTCAACAGCCTCCCGAGCAACCTCCCGAACAACCATCAGCTCAACTACCTGAGCAACCACCGGCTTAACTACCAGCTCAACCACCGACTCAACCATTAGCTCAATCACCGGGTCAACTATAGGAACGTCTATCAGCACCTCATCTGTATCCTGCTCTACTGATTGAACTCCACAGCGGCGAGTGGTACGAGGTGCCCGAAAATGCCCTCGCTCCGCCATCCGCTTCCGGTGTGAACCGGTGCAAACTACTCGTCCTGCCCGTAGATGAGAAGACTCAACATCAATACCATTGGTAGCCCTACCTTGATCTGATCCTCGATCTGCAGCTCTTTCTGCAATAGTATCGTATCTGCCTCTAGTTTTCACTACAAAAGAAGGGAAAAAAACAATCAAGAACAAAAAACAAAGGCAACAACTGCCAAAAATTTTAATTTTTCGGTATAAAACTAAATTTATAACTACCTGAAATTTTGAAATTTTCGAGAAGATACAAAACTAGTTTTCTAAACTACCTGAAATTTTAAAAATTTCGGTAAAAAAAATTGAGGTTTGCATCATAAATTTTGAAATTTCTATTAAAAATGATCGAAAATTATAAAATTTCAGATAGAAAATACTGAATTCTAGTGCAAAATACTATAAATAATTTAATTTTTAATAAAAACTTATTTGTTTTTGAAATTTTTAATGGTTGTTTTGAAATTTCTGGTACCGCTCCTAAAATTTGAAAATTTCGCTTATCAACCACAAATTTGAAAAATATGGAAAAAAATTTGTAAAGTTACTTTAATTTTTTCATATAAATTGAATAAGAGGGTGTGAGATTTAATTGTAGGGTGGCAGACAGACTTTTTTTTTTTCTTCCTGATCTTTTAGTTTAGGCCTAAATTAAAACAATAGTCTTACTCTAAATATTTTTAAATAATAATACTGCATTTGTCATAAATAAAAAATCATTTTGTAAGTAATTATTATTTTAAGTTATAATTCAATCATTTCAATAAAACATTAATAATTATTTTTTATTATTAATTTATTATTTTCCACCTTTCTTTAAATTTTTCTTTTTAATATTGTTAACGAA